TCGTGATGATAGCAAAACCCCGGGAGACCATTCGAATTCAGAAACTGCCGAAGACTACTTCCCATCTATTTAATTGGAAGCTCTAAACCTCGTAATTTATTTAACCCCACAGATTCGATCAACCTGGATAAATTGTATTCCCGTTTAGATTCCCTTTTGGTGAACACAGTCAACAGGAATTATTTTTCTAAGGATCTTGATTCTGTCTGTGATTTTTATGGAAACGACTTTAGTTGGAGCACAATTGCTGCTGTCACATCTACTAACTCTCAGAGTGCAACATGGTACTGAGACAGACCTTGGATTGCATAATGTAGTAGCATATCTAAGAAACCTCTCTAGTGCGGCTGTTGATTATTTCTCAGAAGTTTTTAACCTTATGAAGTTACTTCTTGATGTACCTGTGAATGCTTTAAGGAATGGCTCTACCTCTGCCCTTCGAAAGCTCAAACTGTATCTTCGAACCATGTCCCAATAAAAGATTGAATCACTGCATGGTTCTCCACGTTCACAAGGAAATGACTGACAAATTTAAGTTGGCAGATATTGCAAATTAGTTTGTTTCAACATTAACTGACGGGCAAAATCGCTTTAGAAATTCTTTGTCAGTTAAAGCTTTCTCAAACCACGTATTGAAAGCTGAAAAAAACGGACTATCGATAACTTTCTACGAAAGTATTCAAGTTTGATAAGTTTTGTTGCTAAGCTGGAAAAGGTCATTAAGCTTTCCTTACTTCGTTGACCGTAACGAAATCCTGGTATTTTTCAAATTTTAGCGTTCAGATTGCACCAGATTGCATCCTAGAATCTTACATTTTCAACATTTCTTGGGGGAGCATGCCCCCAAACCCACTTAGTTTCACGTGTTTTCGACCATCTTCATTAGCACCATCGCGCCAAAATTACTCATATTCCCAGTTATGCCCTACCAAGGAGAAATTTCCGGCGCCGTCCCTGATATTTACCATTCAGCATTCAAAACTGCTACTCCCCTAAGAGGTGGGTCGCGCCTAGCGCGGGGGTTGTTATTTTTTCTATGGGGCCGGAATTTAATAGTTATTTGTTAACAATCAAAGGTTGTGCTTTTCACTTTGGCTAAAATATTTCTTTTCATGTCTGACATTATCGCTGCGAAGAAACGTAGTACGACGAGATGGTTTAGGTCGTTTTCGTGAAATAGATAACAGCTGATGCTAGTTTCTAAGGTAAAAAAGTTCTTATCTTACAATGTAAGAGGCATCAGTACTTATTTTTTCTGCTTCATTTACTTCTCCTAACTTCATAGGTATCCGCTAAGGCGTGAGGCTGAGGGAAAGAGGCCGCTTAAATTTTTCCTCTTCATCTTCATTTCCATTCAGTGTGAATCATCCGGCGTGGTTGAAACCCATACTCATTCTTTCATAATTTCAAGCTTTATTTTGCAGTTATACTCGAGTGCGAAGATTAATCATGCGAATAATCGAGCTTATAACCAGAGGGAAACATACTAAACCACTTTGACAACCTTTTTCAGGCTACGCATTTGTGATTTGCAGAAATTAAAATTTCTCTATCTACGATAACCAAACTACCAAAACTACAAAACTGCGAGGTATTTTCGAATCATAATTTTAAGTGTCAAGCCACTTTTTCTAAACGAGAGTTCACTACCTAAAATCATTGGGCAGTCACATCTATCACGAGATAGCTACATTATTTTACTTTTCTCCATAAATTTACGTACACTAAATTATCTTACAAGAACTAAACGATGTTCCAAAGGATATGAGGGTGAAAAATAGAAGCATTCATCAAAACTCACCTGTTCTGCGGCTCAGTTCTTTAAACTGCAAACCTTTGCTTTACGACAGTTTCTTCCCACATTGATAAGAAGTGTGAAATTGTTACCGATATAACCATTATTTTAACCTAGTCGAAAGATAAGAACTTCCTGTGTGGGTTGGGCAAAGAGATATACGAGAAAGTTCTACCTTAAAATTTTCCTGCCACCTACGCATTATGTATCAGACCGGCTGATGTTAAATCCATATCAGTTATATTTTAGACGAGCACTTTGAAAATACAACATTACAAAGAGGCAAATAGGAAAAAAAAATAAATGAAAAAAACCTTAGGTAAATAGAGGTAACTCCTTCTTCGTTATTTTCGTCTCCTATAATTATACTGACCTCATTTTCATAACCGTGTGTTGGGTCTCTCGATGTCTCCCTAAAGTGCATATTGTAGGAGTACAATGACAACAAAGGGGTGCAACAGGCGTAACTTGTAAAATATCTTAAATATCAAGCTCCAAATAATAAGCAATATGATTGTTTTTGTCAAATTAATTCAAATACTTTGAAATACTTTAAAATACTAAAAAATACTTTTACAAACTTTAAAATACTTTGAAATACTTTAAGACACTTTAAAATGCTTTAAAATATTCTGAAATGCTTTAAGATACTTTAAAATACTTTAAGATATTTTAAAATACTTTAAAATACATGTCCTGAAATTGCAATTTCTTTCTTAAAACGCACTACTTTAATTTTAACATCATTTGAAATATTTCACTTCAACTTTACTTCGACGCTTCTCTTTGTTCTTGCATCAACCAATCTGATTTTGACAATGTTTTTCTCAAACAATCCCACTGAGAAGGTTCAAGTTTCTTAACAAACCCCAAAACAATTTTAAACGCGATGATCTTTTCCTATCATATGCAATTAAGTTTCTAGTTGGATCAAAGAATCTCATTTTTTACGTTTTTGTAATGCCTTTAACTGCCCGTCATAATCCGAATAAATTATTTGCAAATACGTTCCCTTTGAGTCCTTGCGGGCGTGAAAGGGTATTTAGTAAAAATTACAGCTCTCATTGTTATATTGAGTAAACAAACAAACGAACCTAAGATGGATAAAGGCTGACAGTTTCTAAAGATGGACTTTGTCCTGACTGGATTTTTTGCCGTCTTTCTTTTCGCATTGGCCGTTTTGTTTACGTGCATTATAGTGTTACAGAAATGTTAAATTGTGAGAGGCTGCCTATGAAGTAACACTCTATGTTTTTTGTCATGAAATGTTATTGCTAATATTTGTATCAGAGAAAGTCCAGGTATTTTAAAGAGAAATGTCTCTGATAAACTCGAAATTATGTGACTTTTGGCCCCTTAAACTGAAGTAGGAACCGCGAACCCCTCCACCATGACCCTTCAGTGTTCAGCCTTTCCGCCATTCGGCCCACGCCATAACTGACTACCTGAACCACCTCAGTGGGTACTCAAAAATTCATCCACTTGACGAACCCCAGCAATGTGAAATGGTTTAAACGTGAGAACAATCAATGCAGTCCAAAAATAAATAAATAAAAATGACCTTAATTACGCCTTAAAATGGCTTGCGCAATCATTGTAGTCGTGAAAGGGATTCTCATATCTGAGTTAATTTTATCATATTCGCTTAAGAGAGAATGTTTTTTCTACAAACAGGAAACATTGTATAACAAGATTCATAAAACATCCTGAAGTGACCGATACAAGTTGTTGTTTACGAAGTCGGAGACGTAATGTGCGTGACACAATAGACAACTGCTGAGGATGATGATTAATGAGGACGTGATAGAACTGAGGGGAATATAACACTCCAACAAAAAGATATTTGCAAATTGTTGGATTACCATTTTGAAAATCTCTTTCATTCAAGAGATTATCTCGTTTAATCTGATTACTTACTTGGCTGGGCCAGACTATTGTAATTTTTTTTTTTTTTGCCATAATTTGCATATTACACGACCTACCTTTTTTTTTTTTTTTTTCCACTCAAGTGTTCTTGTCATTAATTTACTAGAGAAAGTGCTGCACGATTGTCTAAATGGTTGAATGCTTGTATAAATGACTGGCCTTATAAATTCCCTAAATCTATGGGTGAATTATAACTTGACGATATATTCTAGAAAATGTAGATTGCCATTCTTCCTTTTTATCAGGGAAAGGGGTCTTTCCAAACTGACAGGCGATATTACTTTCGTCCTCATTGACTTGTACGAAAAATCTGAGTTCTCGTGGGTGTCAATTATCAGATAGACTGTCGTCTATTGATGATTTTTAGGCAGTTATAACCCACGCGAAATGTTTTCTTCCCTTACATTCTCGCGAACCATTTGAATTAACGCGACCTTAACAAGCAACCATCATCCTAAGGTCGGTGAAGAGTCAAGACGCGTTCATACAGAGCGAGACCACAATGACAAACTCGACTATTACGACTTTCTGCGCGAATTCTAGAAGACCAGAACGTCCGCACGAGCCTCCATTCAAACACGGTGCGCTAATTCGGGCTATAACAGTCACTTTATGTTGAAGTTCCTCGTGAAAACGGCATTAAATTTCCGCGCATATGTTGACAATCAGTGCGCCAAATAAGTTAGTTTTTAAACTTTCCACAAGTCCGTTATGCCGAGTTGCATGAAAAATAAAAGAGCTGATTGGTTGACAAAAAATAATACCTGCGATCACCGCCTGACAATAGGTTTCGGAGGCAATCTCTGTTATTTCGTGGCCTTAGGTATAGATAGATTCGTTACTGAATATACAAGGAAGAGTCCGGCCAGCGTTAATTTGCTTCGTGGGTGAAACAACAGAATTTTGTCTTAATTTGCGATTATTCTCACAAATCGAAACTGGTTCGACTTCGAATGAACTACCAATCACAAGAACTGATTCTCTCAAAAAGATAAAGACTCGTGGAATTTCCCTCATATCTCCCGGGGCGAACTGTCCCTGCGACGTATCCCTGCGATTTTTTCAGGGAGTAATGCACATAAAGTGACTGGTCACTCAATTCGTCAAGTGCGTGAAGACTGCGTTCGTGTTCTTAGTTGGGTTTGGTATAAACAGGCCTTTATTGAACATGAAAAAATGGCGAAAAGTTTAACTCGTTGGTAACAAGTAAAAAGTCCTTTAAACGTGAGCTTCAAACACTTTATTACTAGTTTTACTAAAAAAAAAGAAAAGGCACACTCTGAACACAAAGTTATGATTATCACAATAATTTGGTCCTCTGTGATCTTTGGATAGCACCAAAAAAATTGGTGTACAATGATTCTTTTATAAAAAGAAATACATATCAAACTGATATAGTAAAAAACACCCTGGAGAGGTTGGCAATGCCGTTCCAAAATTTTTGAGACCAGAAAAACACACACAAGAACTGGTGTAACTTAAATTTTAGACACCTTACCAAGAAAAATGCTTTAATGCAGTGTTCTCACTTGAATTGTGACTTCAAATTACGTTGATACCCAAAATAGTTATTTGGTGACATAGAAATGGACAATTTGGAATAAATTGAAATGTTCAGATTAAAAGATAATAGACCCTGGCATTTGACAGTCAGTCTTCAAGTAATCACTACTTTGCTATCTCTGTTTTCATCATACCGAGAGTCCGTTCGAGCAAATCAACAAAAACAGCTTCTTGTTTCGCTGTTTTGGGCTGAGTTACTACTCCAAACAGTTGGAATAAAGTTTCCAAGAGGACAACCTTCAATGCTGAGGAATTTTCTTTTGATCCAACGTTCTCTCCCAGCCACATCTCGAATGTTGGAGATGGTGGTGGTGTCGAGAACATCTCTTCGAGAAAATCTTGTACCAAATCATTGCTTACTTGACCTTCATCCTGACAGGCTTCATGAAAATCAGTCTGAGAGGGATCCGAGAAAGTGAAGCGACTCTTGGCGGAAACTTTTGAATATTGCAAACCTGTTGTAGGCTTGAAAGAAGGGGCTTTCTTTGGTGGAGTACTCCTTTCAGTAAAGTGGCACTGATGTGTCATTGAATCCGCCCTTTCATTCTGTTTCTTGGCAGCATTCCTCAAAGGTACTCTTTGCGAGAACGCAGCTTTGCTGGACTTCACCTTGCGACGGTTGGTGTCGTTCGGCGAGGCCTTTCCTTTAAATGGGTTGGCTAGTAGCCCGGGTGATTTTATTCCTATAATTTCGATCTCAGGACCATCATCTTTCTGTGATTTAAAACCAACAGAGACACCTCGAGTAACTTTGGCCGGTGGAGGAGCTGATTCGCCAGTGAAAATAGTTATGGTCTCGCATTTCCTTTTAGGGGCTGGCCGAGGTTGGCTTTTTACCGGACAAATTTCCTTTGTGAATGGCACCTGTTCCAACGTACAAGTTGAGATGTACTTTCCATGCAAACTCTCATGGAGGCCAGACTGAGGACGTTTTGGTTGTTGCACGGTAGACGAGAGTTCTTTGAATTCTGGCAGGATCGGCGCTACCGAGTCAGAGACTTGAGTAGAATTTTTGGTTTCCGGTTGAAGGTAACTTGAAATTGACATTGGCCCCTGTGCAGCTGAAGTGCTTCCACTGGATCCATCGTTCAGTTCAACTGGTGCTGATGTTCCACTGCTTCCAACTTCCATGCAACGAGAATCACTGTGTATTCTGGAGACTTCGTTTCGTCTCCATTCTTCTTTTGTATCTTGCAATTGATGAATGGAACCATCTTCTTGGCTGTCCAGTACTACGTGGAACACTTTTCCTAATTCATCCATGAGTACCTGTTGTTGTGCCGTCACTTTAGCCTCCATGCAAAATGGCACACGACAGTAGTAGTCTCTACAAGAATTGGAATGACTTGAGGCGAGAGACGCTATCCCCTGACAAATCGTACAGTTGTCTGCCTGTTTACAGTCTTGTGCGTGTCGTAACGTAAGTTTTAAGTTGACACAGAGAGGTAGAAAGCAGTTGGGGTCCACACAATCCAGTGCATGTGGAAGAAAGCTTTGCAGTTCGTCGTGCCAAGCTTGTCCGGACATCGACTCGTAACGGGAAGCCATTTGAATCAGCTTCTTGAAAAGGAATCTCCTGAATGGAACAAATCATGTGAAGAGGTACATTAATCAGTAATGATGTAATCGAGCAGAAATAGACTGATAAAGCATGTGATTAATGCGGGGTTTTCCCTTTTAATTAGCATACACGCGTGATGCTGTTACGCATGACCAACTAAGGAAGTTTTAAGGTAATTTTGGTTTTATCAACTCAGTCAGATAATGTAAATTGGCCACCGTAAAGAGTTTGAAAGCTGACGTTTCGAGCGCTAGCCCTTCGTTAGAGCCAAGGGCGTGTGCTCAAAACGCTCCGACGAAGGGCTAACGCTCGAAACGCCGGCTTTCAAACTCTTTACGGTGGCCAATTTATATTATAAACTCAGCTGATAAAACCAAAATTACCTTTTTACTCCCGCTAAGGTAGCACCACAGTTTCTTTAGAAACTTACCCCTTTAAGGGAGTTTGAACTTTGTCAAACAAGCTGTTGTTATTAAAATGGCCGGCTTGATGATAAATTAGCCTACCAACCTTGATAATGGCAGATGTTGACTCATTTCGTTTTGTTTGACTGATTTGAAAAATTGAGAAAATATTGGATTAGGACACAAAAGATAATATTCATTTGTTTTGTCTTAAAATCTAATGTCAACCAACGCCTCTCATTCCTTCATCTTAATGCCCCATCTTAATGGCAAGACCAATGAAAGCCACCGTTATATCATTAAAGAACAGGACTGCGTATTAGTTAAGTAACGAAATTCGCAAATCCGGCTAACTTACTGGTGCTTGATATTGATGTCAACTAGTGTACGTGCTGACCCCGAGTAAGAGTCGGCGATTTAAAGAATATTTCAGTGAAGCGTTACAGGGTTCGTTTACAAAGAGTTTCCTCCCATCCGGAGGGAAACTTTTGTCCAAATGACAGAAACCGAAGAAAGATATTGTGGAAAAGTTAAAAAAACTAATCCAGCTGGCTTATATCAAATGTTTCATAGGAAATGTTCAACGACTGCGACAACATGCGAAACAGAAACCACAAAATGCTAATTTCTTAAGACGGCCGTCAAATCGCTTCTATCCACGCTTGTATTACCTTGATTTTGCCTTGGAGTCTTGGGGACCCACCTGTTTTTGACGGTTTCAACAATAAAAGCCACAGAGAAAAAAAGTAAAGTCGAAGAAATGAAAGCAAAACATCGATCGCTTATGTAAGTACGCCGGACAGTTGCAAACTGATGGAATATGCAAAACCACCGTCGTGTCTCAGTATTTGTAACTTTAAAGTTCCGCATACCTTCCCTTAGCGAAGCTAGTGCTTAATTTGGCCGAAATCTTAGAAATATATTTTCCAAAATCACAGAGGCCCCGTCTGTAAACCACTCTTTTGCGATGTTGGCATCCTCAATAAAGATTAACTATTATTATTATTATTAATACTATCAGAGATTTCAAGTTAGACACTTTCGTATTATCTGTAGATCTTCCTTTTTTTTCTTTCGTGAACACATCTACACATCTAATGGTAAGCTGATTGTTTAGAACCACTTGCTATTTGACGCGTGCCGGCAAAGTCTCGCGCAAATCACAGAACGTTCCTTGGTATATTCTGGAAGGAAAGTTGACTGTTTTTCCGGGGTTAAATTGAATAGTTTTACGATGAATCGGTAGCGCTCAAAATTACTGTCGACCAAGTTACGATACTACCTCTTTTCGAAGTACGATACACGAACGTTCGCCGGATTTTGAAGCTTGACGAACGCCGACGATATTCAACCATCACATTGGAGTCGCTCGGTTACGAAGTTTGTGGTAAAAAAGTGGTCATTGCATTACCGGAAACTATGGCCGCTCGGGCAAAGGTATAGACCAGCATGCCAGATCGCTCTTCTAATAACTCTTTACAGCTTATCAGGGATAGATTAGACAAACTGCTTAAGTTTTATTAGAATTCAAAACTAAATTATATTGGATCTCAATTTCCTATACGAACGCCAATATCTACTGTAACATTTTCATTTAACCCCACGATCACAATGTTATCAGATAGGACTCGTTTCTGATTAGAATGATTTGTTTGTTTGTTTCCCGTTTTTAATAACTTGCGTAGTTTACTCGCAGACTATCGAACCCGTAATAAGGAAAATTTACGATTTACTCGATACAAATTGACTGAGAGCTGTGTGAAAAAAAATCTACCTTCACGCCGGCTTATACATGAGTACGCAAGTGAATTGCTAACGATTTGAAGAAAAATAGCGTTTCCAGCAATTTCCCAGAAAGGTTAGCTCAAAGAGCACAAGTTTTTTTTTTTCTTGGACTACATTAGATCAGAATTTACAATACTCACCTTCCGTTTCTTGAAGTGACGAAGGGGTCCAATCGTTCCAAACGGAGTGGCTTGTTGCCGTGTCAATCCGCAAGCTCAAGTGAGAGTTGCTTTACTTGCCTCAATTAAAGTATATTAGCGTTACAGTGGCTCTCTTAACGATTGTGACTCAGGAACACTCCTTAAATTGGGCGACCACACAGGTGTGTCGCCGGACGATGATATTATTTTTCTCTTAAGGAGCACCTCGTAGAGCCAGTTTTCTAGTAAAAAGGTATAACTTGCGCATCCGAAAGAATATCTGCAAAGCATTCGTCAAGAAGGGGGACAATTGACGCAAAAAATCATAAACTCTGTTCGAAAATTGTCGGTCGTAACTAACGTGACTTTGCAGCCTCATTCCTACATAATTACAAACTCGAATGAGTGAGGTGTTCAAGCATTTCCGGTCACACCGTTAACTTCAGCAAAGCGGAACATATACACAGATGACATGAAAGCTAACTGATAATCTTCTGCGCCTTTCTAGCTGTATTTAACAGTTGGCAGGGCCGGTAGAAACCAGCGAAACAAGGCTGTTAGGCTAGCTAGAGGAGTTGATTTAAGGCCCCTGACCTATCTTGCATATTTAACCAAGTGCACTCGCGTGCGCTGTAAAGCGATTTTCGTAATTATGTAAGTGCATAACAAGAGTCAGAAATTCTCGTACTTCCTGCGCTTCGCAGTTCATTTTAAAATGACGACAGTGCGGTAAAATCCCCGTTAACATTGACTTCCATGCTCAAAATATCCGCACAGTGGATATATGCAACCAAGTGTTCAAGATATGCAACCAAGTGTTCCAAGATATCAGTGCAGCGATTGAAAGCGACGCCATTTTGGCTCTGAGCATGTTTGTTTAGAACAGAAAATTCTGCTCCCATGGTAACGTGACGTAACGGCTTTAGAACTCTTATTCTAAGCTTTTATGAACCGTTCCAAGCGATGATTACACACTTGACCTGAGCAAGGCATAGGTTATCAGCAGGACGCGCTCGATTGTTTAGAACAGAAATTTTAGCCCCATGGCAACGTGACGTCACACTTTAGGACTCTGTAAGAAATTTTCAGCAAATTTGCAACAACAAGACAATATACGGCTCGTCTGTTGGCGCAATTAAGAGGTCAGAGGGCCAGATCTATAAAATAGTTTGGGATTCCAACCTTAAATTACAGAAAATAATGAGAATGGTTATTGACTTCAGATTTTCTGCGAGCATTCAACCATTCTTGTCTATTTTCCTGACATGATGACTGAAAATAGAATCGCTTAAATCACGAACATAAGATGCGGTATAAACGACTATCTCCTCAAATCGATTAACGTTACGGATAGTTAGATACTGTAACGAAGGGTCCACATTATGACGCTGACAGCCTTCCGTACTTTATGCAATTTCCTCGTGACAAGCACAAAGGAAGTGATTCCCTTAACTTCCCCTGTGATTGAAGCTGACGAAAATAATTCGCTTAACCTTGATCTGACAAAGATCGATCGCGACGGCAACATGAATGTGGTGAACGAGCACTTTAAGTTTCCAAATGCTCTTTGTAAGACCATTCAATCATGTTCAAACATTACTCGACAAAGGAAAGGAAGCATTCGCCGAGCCTTTTGAAAAATGACCTCGTAGGATTTGGCTCCAAAAGGTTTCTTTCGCGCGTTCTCGTAAACGTTTTAAAATGTATTACCATCGTGAAGCGACTATCGACCAATGTTTCTCTCATGAGAAGAATATTGTGCAGATGCGAAGCGGCGGAGCGGACGCCAAATCACCACATTTTACGATGGCAATTATCAGAATGGGTAAGCTGTAGTCAAAGTTTCTACATTTACATTTCTAACTGAGAGGTGCTCCCAAACTTATAGTTTCGGAGAGTTCTGACGCAGTTTCTCGGCATGCAAAGCGTGAACACATATCTTTCTTCGAAAAATGTTTGCTACAATTACTTTGCCGTCGCAGCAGCTTACTAAAGAGAAGGGAACACAAGTAGTATGGTTCGCAAAAACGATTTGCGTTTCATTGTTAATGGGGAAATAATCAATAGCGTCACGTCGACTACGAAGTTACATATTTTCCTCTTGGCCCATCAGGTCGTATAATACTGACGGAGTAGGTCCGCTGAGCGTACGAAGCTGGATTGAGAGGAGAGGCATCTACCAGGAGATTATAAACGGAATGTAACCTTTTTTATTACACGACTCGGGAAGTCAGAGGGCCAATAACTAAAATCAACCAATCAAAATGCTCTATTGCCGGTCAATATTCTCTCAGTATTGGACCGGGCACTGTCCCGAATGGTTCCGAATGATACCGCACTTGTGTCCCATTGAACTTCAGTCGTATAATAAATCTCTTATTAACCAAGCTTGCTCGAGACCGTACTGGAAGAAAATCGGGCCTCGGTCTTTTTTGTACGGACCTCGCTGCGCTCGGTCCGTACTGTCAAGACCTCGGGCCGATATTCTCCCAGTACGGCCCTCGCGCTTGGTTAATAATATATAAGTATCAACTTAGTAGATAGCGACAAGACTGACTGATTTTCAGTCATGAAACTGCTGGCCATATGTGACACTTTAGCATAAAATTATCACTGAAATGGGGTTGATTTTTTTCTTCTAGAATTTAAGGGATAGAAAAGAAGATACGTATATTGTCCCTTCAAATGAAAACATGAACTATCTCGGAAAGAAATGCTCTCAAATAAAAAGAAAGCTCATAAAGTAATGGTTTCCCAGACTATACGCGTTAATGTAAGGAATGGCGACATGCACATGCAGCAGATGGCAATATGCAAATGCAGCAAGGTAAAGATATTTGGCATGATGGACACGTGCTTACAAATTTGACTCAAATAGTAACCATTTAAAAAATCCACAGAGCTCAGCATAATTATGTTTAGTGCGCGGCTAAAGAATTTATAGAATACTGATTAAGACCGTTGAAAAAAGTTTCGTAAGTAGGCGTTGGGCTGTTCAGAGAAACGTCAACAGCGCGTCACTTCGAAGACAGTGGAAACTCCGTGTTAATAGGGGAACTACTCAAGGTAGCGTTAGGGGGCCATACTTATCTAGCATTTTTATTAACGGCTAGAAATTAGCTTAGATAATCATCCTGCTATGTTTAAATACGAGGACGATTCAATTCTCATTGTTCCTGTTTGGAGTAATGGCCACTGTCGTACAGATTTACTTGATCGGTTTTTAACTTGGTCTGGGGACAATAGCGTGATTTGTAACCCTTCGAAATGTAAGGAACTTATTCCTCGTAAGAAGGGTTTTAGGCAGATCATAGCGCCAATTAACAACATTCCGCAATGCACGGAGCTGTCTATTTTAGGTGTCATGTCCCAGGAAAATTGTAAGTACATTGAACATGTACGAGTTAAGCTTATGAAGGCGAATAAGAGTCTATTATATTAAGATCTCTACGGAAGGAAGGTTTCGGCCAAAGCGAAGTTCACCGCCTATTTAGCAGCTTAGTCCTACTGAATTTTACTTATGGTGTGTCTGTTTATGGTGCGGTAGATTCATACCTCACGGTAATACAAAGTTTCCTCGATAGGTGCTTGAAAAGAAAATATGTATCTAAGAGAATAGACATTCGAGACCTAGTACAAAAGGCAGATAGAAAGCTCTTCAAGGCACGATACGCTGACCCCAGTTACCCGCTAAGCAAAATTATTCTTAAGAAAAAAGAAACAAAATACAACCTCAGATACAATGAAATATATGAAGTTCATAAATTTTGAACTGCGGTATTAGATACATATGATGCACGATCCTCGCAGTAGATAACGCTATTTAAGCAATAGCGAAAATCAGACCTGAAAAAAGTCAGGCTTGTACGGGATTCGAACCACTGACCTCTGCGATACTAGTGCGGCGCTCTACCAATTGAGCTAACAAGCCAACTTAGAACAGGCCGTTAAGTTGATTCGTAATAAACCCGCACCATTGTATCTGATTTATCACTTTCGCGGGTTTATTACGAATCAACTTAACAGCCTGCTCCCAGTTGGCTTGTTAGCTCAATTGGTAGAGCGCTGCACTAGTATCGCAGAGGTCAGTGGTTCGAATCCCGTACAGGCCTGATTTTTTTCAGGTCTGATTTTCGCTATTGCTTAAATAGCGCTATCTACTGCGAGGATCGTGCATCATATGTAAAATACAACCTCAGAAATACAAATGTCCATCATCCTGAAATAAATTCGGAAAGCTTTAAGAATGTGTTTGTAAATGGGCTAGTTTTTAGATATAATATTTAGATTATTATTTGTCTAGTTATAGTTAATGATTCATAGATCATGTTTTTTAATATTCAACGATTCTTAGATTATTATTATTGTAACTTGAGATATGTGCTTTTATCTTGAGAGAATAAAGATTATTATTATTGTTATTATTATTATTATCATTATTATTATTATTATTATTATTATTAGCTAAAGCTCATATCGCAATTTACCATGAATGGCAAGCATGGAAAGCGTTGCTTTTCTGAAAAAAGGTGTACGGTGCTGAATAGGAAGGGACATTGAATTGAGTTCCCTCAATCTAAAGCTTAGATGACCAAATGAGAGCGCCTCCACAAAGCCGGTGATTGATGTAGAAAATACGAGAAAAACACAAGTGTTTATGAAGTTTAGTTTTATGAAGCATTGGATTCTTGATATGCAAATTCAGCAACAATTGTTTTGAATTCATAGCTGCATAGAGAGAAATGCCCCAAGGTCTATTACTGACGCACAAATGTCTTTTCCTGTTAATTCAATCTTTTCTTTGGCAGTGTTAATGGCAATAATATCGTCGCCAGCCGAATGCTTGAAGGTAATAATGGCTCAGTGGGTGCACCCAATGGAAAAACGTGCTCCTTTCTCTCGATACCGTCAGCAAGAAAAAAGAAAAAGTTCAAAGTTCAAGGTGCTTTGGAGAGCAACAACTTATCGTCGATCAAGTCCAAGGGATACGTGAAGTAAAAAACTCGTGACCCTAAAGGTAAATGAAACGCTATAAATGAAACGCTCTATGAAACGCTCTGCCAACGTAATGCTACGTTACCATTTCAGTCGCAATTTCTGTTGTCTAACTTATTGTTTTAATGGATCAAAGTATTTCGCGCAACATCATGGTGTTATATATTCCAACTTATTGTAATTTTCGGCGGTTTCTATTATACTGTCGTGGCGCCACCTATACCTTAAGCTCTTTACACAGGCGAGAAAACTTTTTCTCATAGAAACAACCCGAATAGAAAATGCGTGCGCACGCTATAACTAGGGCCCATGCGTTTTACAGCTATTCTTTTCCTGTCGTCCGCCACTTTGTCGACTATGTAACCTGGCCTGGCTGAACGAGGCTTAGCAGATGTCAGATTTCATAGAAACGCTTTGTAAAGTTGTCCCGGGGAGAGGGTTGTCCCGGGTACCCGAGACCATATAAATAGGGCCTAAGTCTTCTTCGCAGACTAGCATTAGTCTAGTCTCGTCAAGCAATACGCTCCCTCCTTTAATTCCACTCCCCCTCCAAAAAAAACAGCAACAGCTGCGATGGAGATTCAAGGTTTCCTGATATCTTGAAAATCACATAAAATGAATAACATTTGAGTCAAAACTTTCTACGAATGTTTCTTTTGCTTACATGCACTAACAACAATACCTTCTTCGCTATTACTTGCTCGCGTGGAAGCTGAAAAACACCCTTAGGCACATTTTACAAAACTGTTCAAGTCAAACTACAAGGGCAAGCAAAAGGAAAAAAAATACATAATGATAAAGCTGATTCACAGCTGGAGATCAAATGGAGGTATTCTTACGTCTTCCGTTTCCGTTTAGGTGGCATGATGCTATTACAAGTTCCTTGTTTAAAAATAGTGGCCATATCTCACCAGTTTGCTATTTGAGACCTACGTCTCTACACAAGGAAAACATGAAAGCTACTTAGACTGTTTTCTTCGATAATTCACAAGACATCTAAAATGATTAAGGTAAGTAGAATTGTAATTCAAAGGTTAGTTACTAGTTCCCCTGCGATATTGTTACAACTGTAACTGATCTATCAAGCGGAAAGTTTCAAAGCAAGCTATTACCATTTCGTGAAAAAATACATAGGCAGAGAGAATGGTAACATCTGAAGCAAACAGTTGTTAGGAGTGAAAGAAAACTAAAGCATTTTGGAAACACCGAGAGGCTTAAACCTTAGCAATTTTCTGTAGTTCGCTACTGTGCAGCTTCTTAACGTAATAATACAATACCAGGTTATATCTAAGATAGAGTCGAACTTTACAAAGATTTCATAAGGACAGGTAAATGTAAGAAGAACTTAAGGAAAGCTAGCTAGCTAAGATTTTGGTTGATACCTCAACAACAGGACTTTAGGACTATCCATGCTTTTGATAAAGTACATTTTATGTACCAGACAGGTGGATCAAAATAAACTAAATGTTTTTTCTGATAGACTTTTTGCTTAGAAGCATACGATGTTCATTGATGGTCAGTGTCTTTAAAAGCGCATTCACCGGAAATCAATGTTTGTTACCGTCAATCACTGATTCAGAATTTATTTAACAATTTTGTTTAAGTAATCCTTCAGATCTCTTCTCTCTTTGAAAAAAAAAAGTACACAGTTTTCCTTATGAGTAGCCTTAATCAAGTGATTACACTAACTGAGGTTCTAGTCAACACATCGGGAAACTGTAGACTGCAATCTGCTCTTGGGACAGACTACTGATTTAGTGTCCTGCAAGCAAATAGTCTTCTGCCTGATGCAATAGGTTCCTTTTATCACCTTAAATACCTAATACCTTTGTCTCAATATTAAGAGTGGCTTAAATGTAATACTGTAATACCAATTGCGTGTCCCCTAGGAGGGACTGAATTTTATTTTTAACGCTTGATGAAAATTAGAAATTTATTGTCTTCTCAGGTGTTCACATCTAATTGAAACAAATTTAACAACTGAACATGAGCAACGACACTCCTCTTCGTTCCAATATGGCAACAATGTTTCGGCCCCTCATTGAGCTCCTTATCATTCTCTTTCAAAATATTTCAAATTAACTAAGCATTCTGTTTAATTTGAAGAGGAGAAAAACAAATCATGAATATAACATTCTTGAGTTAAAACTTTCTTTCCGCTTCCAATGTCCGTCAGGACCTAGAACTGGAATACTTCCGGGGCAAAAACTGGCGTTCAGTCTACAAGCATTCAGACTCTCCAATCGCGACGAATGATATCTTCTTCCATTGTAAATCACAATGCTACCAATTTCTCCATCGAATCCCCCAACTGGCAGAACGAAGGGAAGATAAGGCAATTCAAACCGAAGTAGACATCATTAGAAAATAAGAGCATTACAACACAAAAGGATCGAATATATTGACAGTAAAATATCTACTTCGTGCAGATAGATTGAACTTCATAGGGATTTAATTTTTGAGTTTACTCTCGTTCCTCAGTTTGTTCTTTTAGTTTCATCCCTTGATCCTGTTGTAGTAACTTGCTCAATTAGTTTACGTAAATATAAAGCTAGATCTACCCGACACGTCAATAAAGATTTTATCTTTATCTTATCCAGACCCCGTGCGCACAACCATTTTCAAAACGCCCGCCACAAAACAATACGAAATTTGAGGCTAGTAAGACAGCCTTGTCGATAATGAAAGGTAGAGTCTGTTTACGAGCCTAGTGGCCCATTAGGCCGGTGCTTAACTCCGGTTTCTGTAGCATGAAGCGACCAGAAGATAACTGAAGAAACTTTGTTTCGCCAGAAGATGAATCTTGTCTTTCAAAACTCTTACTTACTCTCGAAACAAATTTAATTAAACGAGATAAGACTTTTATTTAAAAAGTTCTCCGGTCACATGGCAGCCAGAGAATATATTCTCTGAATGGCAGTTATCTATCAACATGTTTATGATCAGCACACTCTTATTAACACAAGTCTTTCAAGGGAATTTACCCTCTTACGTGAACCTACGGCAGAAAAGGGGCGTATAAGCGGGTGGAGGGGGGCTAACGTTTAGCAATACAGAGAATATACGAGAATAGCGCCAAGAATGGGTAAATATGCCAGCGCGTGATTTTCCAGTCACTTTCTGGGACCTTCCTGATTCGGAAAGGTTTCATTGCAGCATGAAGGAATTCAGACGTGGTTACATGGACGCTGTTCTTCTGTTTAATCATCACAGTTCCTTTGTAGTAAGTACAGCCATAGTTCACCAAGGTTTTCTTTCACTCTCTGATAAAAAAAAAAAAGCTTGTTATCGAAACTAACAGACATGATGACAGTTTGATATCGTTCAAAGCTTGTAATTTGTATCTGTTATTAGTTTTAGCGATCTGTTTTTAACTACTAGTAAGAATATAAATTTGGTCTTGTATGCAACTTCTACGTCAGTCTCCTGTCCCTGGGCAAGGCCTGAACCTCTCTGTGCCAAACTAAACACAACATATTATATATGTATATCGTATTAATATACCACGAGGGCTCATAACTGTCTCATGCAGAAATCCAACAGCTGCAAATGATAAAATATACAATCGGGGGAGAAAAGAAATCCACAGTGAGCAATAAAATACCATCTCATTCATCATCTATCCTCCCCCTCCCCTCCCCACTTCTTTTTGCAAAAATCATCATCCGCCAAACGATCTTTCACGTGCGATTAGCACTTGCCGGATTTACTGAAATTTTTTTTTCGCGCCCGCAGCACTACACTCGACCGATTATCAGTCAGATGTTTGTATCATGAACAACCAACTATAAATAAGCTGTCTAGTCCAAAGCAAACCATTGAGGGAGTTAAGGATTATGCAAGGGAATATATTAGGAATATTGGACGCAGCAAATTTCACTTTTTAATCTTTGCAAAATGTGCCCACAATCTCGAGCCACTCCAACTTGTGTATCTTTCCTCTAATTTCACTTATAAGATGATATAGAATCACATACCCAAAAGTTCAATAAAATTCACTTTTCTCCCCACGGCCATACAGATGTCGAGCAAAACTAAGCTTTATTAACAATTGTTTATGCATCTTGTTATGATAAATTCAATAAGTGTGCGATTTGGAATGAATTACACGAACTATAGAAAAAAGTAAAAAACAATGCTCGGCGAAATCGAAGGTTATCCAGCAATTTTAGACAAATAATTCACTCAGTTTGAGATCCACCCCTAAGTACGCCCGCTTTTGAACCTTATACACAGCAGCTGTTTACAATATTGCTTTTGCCGAACATTCTTCTTTCTTATTTACTCTCCTCAAAAGGAAGCGGGGGAGTTGTTTACCGGCTTAACGAGCATCGAGTACTTTCTCTTGACAAAATAACCATGAACTCGTCATCGTATAACTGAGCTGAGGGCGACAAGGTCGTTTAGATACGAGAAAATTGAGAAACACCGAAACTCGTCCTCCCTGAGAGATGCGCGAAGAACAGATTAGTACTGAATTTAAGTTTCCACCTCCGAAATATCATACAATCGAATAAAAGCATCTTTTTTACCAAAGAAAATGTTCCGCACAATACAGCTTAATTTTTTCCTCCACCCACCCCAAGATGTTGGCGTAGAAAACGTTCGCTTTCGAAAATGAAAAGTATGCTAACATTTTTCAGGTGTAAGGTGCAATACAGTTTAATTTTCTTACACCCACGATAAGATATTGGCGTAAAAAACGTTTGCTTTCGAAAATGAAAAGTATGCTAAAAGTAATCAGGTGTAAGTTGCAATTCACACAATTTTTCAAAGTCCTTATTTCCATTTGTTACAACGAATCTTCATAATAGTGTTTTTCTACCAGTGTAGAGGCTCCCCGTCAAAGGAGTATCTCTTGGGGCTAGTCTGAGAGAATCAAAGGTTTGTTCATTTCGATAATGAGCAAAGATGACATTTTTTTTATCCTTAGAATTGAACAATACCCTAGCTAGTTCATGGTCCTGAGAGGATGAAATTGTCTTTTCATCATACGGATTTCGGGCTGACTCTTCGCCACTTCCTCCCGGCATTCAGACATCACATCATTATTTCTGTCAGTCGTACGCGTTGTAGTGCTCACACCCGCATCGCTTCAAAATACATCAGTCTCTCTTCGGCGCTTCTCAGTTCGCGTAGGGCGCGATGTCTATATTAATACGGTAGCTTAAAGTAGCTGCGTAGCTATGGTTTGCGATATCAAAAATTAGCTTCAACACGAAAGAAGTTCACAATATTAGTAGCATACGAAAGAACGACATGAAAGAGACAGTATAATAAGTTGAGAGGGAGAAAGCATGGCAAGACATGGAAGAATAATCGAGTGTAATGACAAGTTGGAAATTAGGCATTTTTTTTTAGCTTGCTAAAACTCTAAATATTGTGTTGGTTTCTTAGCTATAACTGTCAAAGGTTAGCAAACAAACATATAAAAACAAAAAGATTAAGGCACGCGTAAAATTTGCCATGTAGACATTCAATGCACTAATGCGTACTGAGTGACTAGTTTTAACAAGTGATTGATATATTGTTTCAAGTATTATTTTTAACTTGATAACATCGAACTTGGTTAGATGATTACGTCACAACAATTCAATTGAATTTAATCACGCGACGTGTCATTAACACAGTCTTTAACTATCATCTGGCCGCAAAAATATTCATTTGATTGCATTAAAAACGTAAGAGAGAAACATGAACCAAGAAATAACAAAGATGGTGGAGAACGAGAAAGATTTGACGGCTTGCAAACGACTAAGATAACTTATTATGGGATGCATTAACCGTGACCATGGCTCGTTTAAGCTGATAGTTTTTACTCTGAGAAAAGCCGACCCCATGAAAGCAAAACTCAGTATTTTTCCTTCAAAATCCGGGGCGAAAGCTGATCAGGTGCGTTCATTTCGCTCTCAAAGTACAAATGTTTGAGAGTCAGGCCATAGGTGGCACATGTGACAACAAAATGTGCTCCCTCATCATCAAGTTGTTGGTATCAGTCATCAGTACATACCGATTCCCTGTTTTTTATGCTTGATAGAAATGATATGGGCGAAGAGGGTCTAGACAGATCAAACAATATCGTGTATGTCTCTTAAAACATAATGTTATGAAAATATACTAAACTGTAATCTTGACCAATACAGTAAAAAATGAATTATTTCTAAGACTTAGAGGTATTCGCTATCACGGGCTAATCTTCGTTAACTTTTCCTTACCAATCCTGAAAATGTTTTAACCTTCATTTATTTTTTGAAACGATCCGAAGGTTTGCTGAATCATCTATCTGCAACTAACATCGCGTGCACTCGTTTCAGTCAATGAGCGTGGCGTTTCAGTTCCTCCTTTGAATGCTCCGTCTATAAATAAACAAATATATAGTCACGACTGGGTTCTCAATATCACTGCATGTATATATTTCACATAACACCTTTGCTCAAATGGACTGACGGAAAATGTCTTGTCATCCATGCAGCCAGTATCACAAGGTAGGAAAAGCTATACGATATTCTAGGCTTACGTATTTAGCAGCTTTTACACTGTTTAGAGTTAAATACCATGTAAGACAGTTTACAATCACTTCTGGAAGGAATTAGATACACATAGGCACATGAAAGGAACGAATTTTGATATCGTCAGCTATATGACAAGTCGATTATATTGTTGGTCGGTTGTATGTCAAGTTATGCTGATTGTGTCGAATTTGTTTCAGTAAAGACCGCATGTTTGTTCCTCGCTGCACTCATCATAGTGAAATTTTTGTCAGTTTTACGGTCTTTTAAGTTATAATTTGAGAAGGATTGATGAATGGTGTACGCCACGGCAAATGCTAGCAAATGCATTATGGTATACAGGTATTTTTCCTTCACACAAAAGAATGCAAAGACTTTGGAAGAATGTAACCGCCAAGACCTGCCTTGAGACTTCAATCTCTGGGATAATGCAAATTAAGTTAAATCGAGTCTGCGATAACATCGAAATTGGTGTACCAGCTATAGCTTGTTTAATTTGTTAGCTCTAGGTCCTTGCTCATCAGTATATACAGACAAACACCTTCATAACTAATTCAAATGAGTTCTTTCTACCGGTTCACTTCTAAAGTTTATCGTTTTAACCGTGATGATGTATAAGATCTCCGCAATCAGCGTAAATAGTTCCAGAGCGTGGCACTCTACACCGGAAATTGAACGTAACGGAGTTTGCACGTAAATAGCGGACCGCGTGGGTAAAACAGAGACATACATATCAAGAAGGAAACGGAAATTTTGTTCCTAAGAGTCGTCGCCTGTGGTTAATTTATTTTTTGCTGTTACAATGGCTGAACAGACTCTGGAGACATTTACTTTTTAGAAACAAAGGGCACTTACTACTAAGTGGGCGTCCTAGACAGCTCCGCTATTATGAGCTTGGCCTCTGTTTTCACCGTCTAGCAGATTCTGCGACCTAAAAATGCCAGAAAGAAGAAATATAATCCTTGCTTAGTTTCATGTATTTGATATGACTAGATTAGCTATGTCCAGTCAGCCTTGGGTCGCCTTTGGTCTGGGCCCTTCCCTTGATTTTCTTGATTAAACAGTTAAATTCAGCTTGCCAGCGTATTTTTTTAAATTTTATATCAAAAGCCGCTCGCACTAGCAGTCGCATAGTGTTCTCGTTCTACATGGGAGTTTTATAAAAAGTATGTAGCTTTCGTTAAATGTGACAACTTTATCGTGGACATGCCTTTGCCCACGATTTTCAACAGAATAATCAGGTCTCGAAACAAAGAATACAAAACAAAAGCAATGGAAATAAAACAACGCACATGTACATCAACATCGTCAGCGAATTCTCTAAGAAGCCCTCGGTGTAATACTCTCAGAAAACGCACGGTCATTGGCAACAAGGCTTCATCCGGCTGGCATTGCATCATTGGAGAATAACCCTTAATTAGAACCCAAATGGTAATTCGTAATTATAGTAACAATAAGTAATAAAGACAACTGAGGCATTTGTCCCTTTTAAACCTGCAACTGGAGCCTCTTCTAGAACTTGCAACAACCTCGCAGATCAAAACAACACGTTGTATTCTTCAACTTATGCATTTTATTGTTCAGCTCTCCTTCCCTAGCGAGATAAAAATTCAAAGAATTTGTTACGAATGCGGTCGAACGTTTTGTTTTTATCTTAATTTCAATCGAAACAAGGTGCTTATTTGGAAGTTGAAATCGACCTGCAAACAAAAGCAGGGTCAAAGTCGGTTGAGTTAAAGACTAACATGCGCACAACAAGTTGTTTTTTTTTTACCGTGTAAGTACTTTTGACGTTACAGTTCGACACAGCTCTGTGAACACGTTGACAAACAAAACTGACGTAACATTATTCAAATTTTGTAGAACTTTTTCACGCCCCGCTCTCATGATGTATAATCATTAAAGGTCATAAAAAGAACATTGTCATTCTTCAGGCATTTCACTCAATACATATTTTTAAATACATTATAGACTTCCCTATAAATGAACATTTTCGAACTTTAGAATGAATTCAATTGAAGTTAGGGACTCTATGAATATCATAGATAGATATTTCGCACACAGATATAGTTCACAAGCGGGAAAATCTCGAAACGAAATGAAGGTTAGATTGTTTTGTTCTTTTCAGTGATATTAATCTTTTTATAACCACTGCATTCGAAAAAGGTACTTCTTGATGTTAGGATCTAAGTGAAAAAAAATCAAATATTATCAACCGTATTTTCAAGCATTAATTGGATCAAAAGGGATTTCAACCATGCATCATAATTGCTGTGACTTCAAGTAATAGCGTTGATAAAGATCGTACTTACCGGACAAAATAAATAGGATTTGCCTTGTTAGATCAAGTCGCCTCGTACTTGTTAACCCCCCGTAGTTTGAAGGCTTCCACTAAAATTAGTGTCAAATGTGTTGAAACATTTCATATAAACACACCGCGATTGAGTGAAAGTGAACGGTGAAGATGTTTCGCAATACAAAAACAGAAAAAAGAAGGGGAATCGAATATTAAAAAACCTTGTCATCCACTGATTCTTGCTTAGTGTACAAAGATGAAGTGTACCCAAGGATTTCTTTGCAGTTATTCTACAGCTATTAATAAAATTACTGTCAGTGAATGAGTCACAAATGTCATAACCACAACATTCAATTAGATTCAGTTATATGAACCAAACTGACCGCAAATTGCACAGAGTGGTACCAATTCACATTAATATTGACCATTTGACCTAGTGTGTCCTTGTGGAGAACAAAACAAATTATTCTGCGTCGCGACTGAGTGTATTATTTTAGATAAACTTACCAATAATGTATCGATAGGTCATCAAAATTCTTTGAAGGCTTCTTCGGGTTCGTAAATTAGAAGTTATTGACAGAAGGAAGGCTCGATGGTTGGCGAGTACTCTCGATGTGTCGAAAGATAATACCACAGCAGTCACTAATTTCAATCAGATTTTTGTTTCAGGATCTAACTATTTCCCTAGGAAATATATCCACAAATTGTCCGGAGAGAGGCATAAATCCAGTGACTCAACCTGAATCTAGATAGGTGATCTGAAAGTACCTGCGAGTCCCTAACACATATTTCACAATTCCTTACTAGAAGGCTCCATTTTTCGTCACCCAACTTTTCTACTAATCACGAATTTTTATTCTTTTCATGCTTTCCCCTTTTCATCCCTACAACTATTTCCTGAACTGATAATAAACCTCCTACAATCGAAAAAGGCTTTGCTAGAAGGCTCTGTTTTCCGTCACTACGTTTTCTGTCGCTATTCTTTGCTTGAATTCATTGTTTTTCTTGGTTAAAATGGTCGACCATTGACCGACCATTGATTAATCCCACAAAGGGGACTGACGAGTCAGCTCTCCATTTAAAGTTACTTTGAGAGCAGAATGAGATTGTTTAGTGACATTTTGAAAACACAAAACAAATTTTCTACAGTTAATCGTCAGTATTCATGGGACCAAACAACGCAAACCTAACGGCTGCCATTCGGGTTGGAAGTAGGAATGAAAACGTTAAAAAAGCGAAATCATAATTAATACGAGTGACATGCCTGCTAAACACGCGAAAAGTTCGCAAATCTTACCAATTTTTGATCTTGGAAAAACGACTTGGTCAACTTTAAGGTTGGAATGAAGTTGTTTCCATAACTATTTGGTTGAGTTAGATTCTTCTGTTAGTGAAAGCAATATCATTAAGGCGGCGTAATATTCAATGATAGTCCATCATGCCTTGTTCGTTGTAGTTCGATTTGCTAAGACAATTTTAGTGCTTTTCAGCGACTTTACGTCAGGGAAAGTCATGTTTCACTCAACACCGGTCATCCACAGAGGCAGAAAAAGCTGTTGGAACTGTAGAACGAATTGGGATTTCGCTTTAAGGTATTCGGATAGTCAAACCAGAATCAACCCGAAAGTGCACTCACCATGGTTACTCAAGTGCAACAAACTTTGTGGGTGTTTGTTTATTTGAATGGTTCATTTTAATTAATTGCAGTATTGTTAACAATTCAATGGCCTAACTGAATGAATATAAAAGGGAAGAATCTCCATTTAGAAAACTGGGCTTGACTCAATTTCTGCGCGGTCCTGTTATCACGAAGTGAGCATAGTAATGTTAACCTCAAAGTTTTAAATATGATTAAATATGTGATCTTTGGATACAATGAATATATGAAATTCATATATTTGCGGTAGTTCATATATTCATCGTATCTGATTTATCATGACGCGTTTATTACGAATCAACTTAACGGCCTGCTCCCAGTTGGCTTGTTAGCTAAATTGGTAGAGCGCTGCACTAGTATCGCAGAGGTCAGTGGTTCGAATCCCGTACAGGCCTGATTTTTTTCAGGTCTGATTTTCGCTATTGCATAAATAGCGCTCTCAACTGTGAGGATCGTGCATCATACGTATATGATCTTTCTCCGAGACCGGATTTCTAATTATAGAGTTTCAAAAATACACCCGGCCTCGTGGACGTGTTTCCTTGAAGGCTTTTACTTAAATAGAATTTTTTCCCGTGGTTAAAAAGTCAGAGTGGGATTGATACGCTGTATCGGCAACTCAATTTTCTACGAGCATCCTTCCGTTCGTTAACCTCTGTGTTCGTTTAATTCCAACCTTGCTAAGTTATGAAAATACTGCCGGCCATCGTGAGCTCTGTTTTGGTAAAAAAGGAAATCAGAGTTCTCTTATAGTGACACTGAATCCGAGGGCGCGAAAGATATAAACCACTCTCTTTTGGTTTGTATATAGCAAATTATCTTCTATTCTACTACGTTTGATATCACCATGAAAGGTATAAATTTATTACTGGCTGCGAATAACCACAACATAAATCTTACTATATAAGTCGCAACTAGATCCACCGGACACTCATTCACCTCGGGAATCGATACATAGAGCTAGTCTCTGGAAAAGTAGCTATGTCACGAAAATTTCTGTTATTTTTGCAACCTCAGAATAACTGTAACAACCATAAGCATTGATTAAATGGAAGCCTTAAAAATAAGTTTGCTGATGACATGGCATTTTATTGTCATAAGAACTCGCCAACCCAATCAAAGTTCGATGCAGACTTGGCAGCTATTACATCTTGGTTACACAACAATAAGCTGACACTAAATGTTACTAAGTCGAAGTTTATAGTCATTGGAGGACGTAACAAATTAGGTCAATTTAATGACATAGCTCTTGTAGCCAATAATGATCAAGTGGAGAACGTTACCAAATTCAAGTATCTCAGAGTGACCATAAACCAGCATCTTACTTGGCATGACCATATTGAACAACTACAAAGTAAAATAGAAAAGAAACTAAGTGTGCTAAAACGAACCAAGCATCTTCTCCCAGTTTATGCAAGGAGGATCTATGTGTCAACACTGGTCATTCCAATTCTCGAATATGGTATGGGGTGATAAAAATGACAAAGTTTTAATGGATTCTATTCAAGTTCTTCAGAATAAAGCAGCTAAGCTAGTACCCGATCGAGCGACATTTTCCTCTTCAACTCTAGCACTTCTAGATATGAACTGGATCAATCTATCATTCAGAAGATAAATATAACGGTGTCTTTTTATGCATAAACTTATAAATGACAGTGAAAGAAACAGTGTGATTACTCGAGGCACAGACTATCATAGCCATAACACTCGCTCCAAGGAAAATATTAGATCTATTAGATCAAACTCGAACTGGGGTCTACTCAGATCCTTTAATAGTGCATTGACAGACTGGAATTCCCTTCTAGAAGACATGAGATGTCTACTTATGATGCTTTTAAACTTTCATTGCTTAAACATTTTCAATCTTAATAGGTTCGTTTAGTGTGTCATCTTTTGCTCATCGATTTTGTTATTTTCTGTTCATGTCATGTTTTAGATATTTCATAATTCCCACTGTGAGCTTTTACTTATTAATTACGTGATTACTTATTTTATTGTTAATTTTGAGGGCCTCACTGAAAACCGCTATGGCTAGCTGGGCTCCCTCTTTAAATTTTTTTAATAATAATAATAAAATAAGTCTGCTAATGTAAACAAACGCCAAAGTGGTCAATGCGCCGAACCAAAAAGGTGGGTGGTACTGGAAACGAAAAAAATCGTTAGATTTTCCCCTACCTTTCTCATGATTCTTCAAAACCATAATAAACAGGGGCTTACCTTAGTCCCTTTTTTCATTCATGAACGAAACCTTCTGAAGTATGTGGGTACAAGTTGCGTGCTGATATCATTAAAAAACGCTTGACATGTTTGTGATATTTGTTTCTCTTGTTTGTCAGTAAAAAACTCTTGTTTTTAATGCTGAGGTTTCACGGTTTGCCTCAAATCACTGCTGGAACTTGTGAACACCAACCGTGGTTCTAATTATCATTTCTTGTATTTTTCAGCCTGTTTGTCTACTGATTATATATCTAACCACAATGATATCATTTACAAACTCCTTACAATGCCGAAGAAGAACCAACATACAAGCTCCAAGAGTGTTGCGTCATCTTGAGAAAAAATACATTTTC